AGCCTGCCTTGAAAGTATTTCCAAAGCAGCGACAGAAATCCGCTAGCTTTCTATTTTTTTGCTCGCCCGTCAAGGACGGCGTGCTTTGTCATGTCTTATCTCGTCTCTGTGCCTCTGCCCGTCTTTGGCAATCTGTTGCAGCGAGGAGTGGAGAGCGGCTGTGCCTTCGGAAAGGCTAAAGCCGTGGAGCGGCTCGCTGCACTCGCCTCTCCATCAACATTGAAAAATGATTAACGGCGTGGAATGCGCTGCAGAATTTGGTATTGAAAATCTCTCGCTGTGTTCGATGTTTGGGAACCAGAGGAAGGACAGCTGGGAGTGCTGGCCCCGCGGCACTCGGGGTTTGTGGGATAAGCTCACTCGCTGATCGCTTTTGTAAACATCCAGCTGTGAAATACTTGAGCAGCGCTAGCACTTTCAATTATCAGGAAGTTTCAGGCTCAGCACCCTGTTGAGATGAACAGGCAGTTTCCACTTCTGTCTGAGCTATTGTTTCAGGCTGTCTTCAAACTCGGGCAGAGAGGCTTCCAAGCATGAAGCAAGCACAGAGCAATGCAGCATTGGGTGGCTATAAAGACTAGGAGGAGGGAGGCGGTAATGAAAGCAATTACCCTGCTGCTACGCTCTGGAGTGGAGGGACAGATTGCACAGCAAATCCCACCGCTTTGCAATATTACGGGACTCTGAATAGCGGTGCTGATATGTTCCATTATTAGCAATCAGGGAGATATCTGCCTTCATGGCTGGCACGTGGGATGGGGGCCCGTGAAGTTGGAATCTTGGTTGCAGCTCTGTGCCTTGGTCTGAGTCACTCTGTGGCTCCGCTCCCCTTTCTGAGGGGCAGACACATCTCTAGGCTGGTGATGCCGAGGTCTGACTCCGATGTTGCTCTGTCACTGTGTTTCATAAGTGCTGAATGCAAAGAAGTGCTGTGCGCTTTGCCTCTGCTTTAACAGACCTTTCCCATACCTTTAATGCACCTTTCCCCTCTGGCCCCGGCCTCCCCAGCAGCCGGGGCTGTCTGCTGTGACACACGCGGGTGCCCTCCTGCATCCTCTGCTCCAGCCACAGGCTCTGCAGCATCTGACTCGCTTGTTTACCGTGCCGCCGAGGAGCGTCTGATCTGCGGCCAGGCTTCCCCAGAGAGCGCCTCGCGGAGCCGCGTCCTGCCAGCGCTCGCGTTCGGCCTCAAGGTTCCCGTCTCTGCTGCTGGATGCTGGTTCCGATCCATACGGGAAATGGAAAGCCGGCCAGCTGGGCGAGGGCTGTGTGTAGCGCCTCTAGAACAGTAAACAGTGACTCACCCCCCTCCTATGTGTCTTCTCTCTGTTCGTGTCAAACCTATTGCCTTGCAAATGCTTCTGCTCTCTGATTCACGCCACCAGCCCGGCCCTCCCCTCTCTCATTACAAATGAATGACAAGCGTCAATCTGTCTTTTGGGATGTGTAACGACCCCGGAGCTGGAAAATGGTCTTGGGATGATAGGGGAGGGATGGGGCTCTGTGTACCATGCTGCGACGCGTGGGAAATCCGTGTCATGCTTCCGAGGGACAGCGGCACTGAGATCAGGACTGAAGCATCTGTAGTTCCCTTCACCTGTCAGATCTGATGTTATCCTCGGTAAGCATATGCATTTGGCTAGCGTTCTGGAGTTGGGAATAACTCGTGGATAAACTAGAAATTCAGGCAACTGGCTAAAACAGCTGCTGGGGAATTATATACTGCGTTTTGGAGTGTCTGAGTAGAGTGTTCCCTGCATAAATGGCTGTGCAGAGAATTAAGGCTGAGATCGTCTCGCTGCTTAAACCGAACACTGTGTTTTTACCCTTTAGAAGTCGTTGCTGGCCCAGCTCAAGGTGAGAGTTGCGCGTTTTGGGTTTGCTGGACTTGTCTGAGGGTGGAAGCTCGATACTGGCAGGGCTGCCTGCCAGACACTTCTGTTCTGGCTACACTCATCTTTCGATGTAGACTCAAATATTGAAACCCATTCTATCCACGGCTGCTGGGCGTTAGCAATGACTTTATAGTAAGTCCTTAACACATAATGTGCTCAGAAAGCTCTATAATATAGAAAATCATTCTGGCATGGTTTGTCTTAATTGCAATTTTTGCACAGAAAGCTCTGTTGCTCCTCAGAGCACTGCTCAGGTTCTCTTTGCTCTTCCCTCTCCAAGCAGAGGATCTGGGGGTCTCTAGATCACCTGGTTGAGACCATCAGACGAGGCGCCAGCCTGTGAACACCAGGTTTTGGGGAAGATGCAGTGAGTAACTTAAGAGTTGCCTCCGAGAGGATGAGGGTGTTGGCAAGGCTATCGCTGGATAACTTTATTGTAGAATTACAAGGGCTCTCTGTGTAACCTACCGTCAAAACATTTGCTTTAAGTACAAGCTTGGAGCCGAGCTGTGAAAGCCTTTGCCCCTGACTGTCGGTGTGTTACTACTTGCTGTTTTATTTATGTAGCATCCTAAGTGTGTCATACAGCTTACAGAATAAAGATGTAATGTGGCCCTTGTTCCAAAAAGCCGAGCTCCTAATTTTAGCCATGATGCAGCAAATGCAATTAAGAAAAGAAGGGCAGAAATAGGGTAAAGACTAAAAGGGTTCTAGTAATCAAATTGGAGTCAGAGTCCCTGAAGACCCTCATGCAGCATGGTTAGGGGGCACCGCTGAAAATGACAAGTTTGTGGCATTATTTACTATTTTATCATGGGGTTTTGCCTTCTCGCTATAGCAAGTGCCGTGCCAGTTGAATTTATTTCTAGCTGCATAGTCCTAAGTAACACTGAGGGCAGGCGTTGTGCGGATGGAAGATGGGGTTGGTGAGGATTGCAGTGTTGGGGCATTGACTCCGAGTTCAGCTGGGGCCAGCCCTGCGGTGCCCCTTGCTCTGGCGCTCACGTTTGGGTGAAGAACTGGAGTCTAAGTCAGCGTTTCTCCTTCTGCTATCAAATTCTGGTCTTTAAAAAGGGGGTGGCTCCCATGCCGCTTGCTCTGAAGATGCCCCAACATTGTAACTATGGACGGCTGCTTGAGCCTCCTCCTCGTGCCCATGCCAGGAAGGGCTCCAGCACCTCGCCCCGATGGAATAGGACCGATCCCAGCGTGCTTGAGAGGGAAGCTGGAGCTTGGAGCGCGTCGGTAGGCGAGGAGAGGGGAACGCAAAGCATGAGACCCTGCCTTATTTCAGGTACTGAAGGTGCCCGCACCAAACGTGGAGGAGCCCGCGCTGTCCGCGCGGGAATGTGCAGGGTGAGGAGATGTTGTATCTGTTCTTATCAGTCAACATGTTGCTCTGGCGACACGGAGCAGCAGGTGACCAGAAGTGGATCCATCACGTGGAGTGGAGCAGCAAATTAACACAGCGGCGACGGCGGCCTCGCTTTGGGTGGCGGGCGAGCCCAGACAGTGACCCCCACCGGAGGGAATCTCAACCCTCCGCGCTTGTTTTCCACGATATTTTACGTTTCTTTCCACCTCTGTGCGGCCAAGCGGCCTGTTCAGTTTTTCCGCCGGCTGGCGCAGAAGGTGCTTTGAAGACGCATTGGGTGAGAATCAAAAGCCTTTTTGTGTAAGCTGGGGGTGTGACCGGCCTGTCCTCGGCCTCCCCCTGCTTTTTGCCTTTCCCTTTCCGGCGTAACCCGCGCGTGGGCCCGGAGCGGGCGCCCCTTCCCTTGTAGGGGCGGCGGGCTCGGGGGGATGCCGGGGGAAGGCAGCGTTTCTGGTGCTGTGGGAATGCGAGCTCTCCAGCTCTGTAAACAGCTGGTGACTCACTGCATAACTATGGCACCAAGTGCCTGCGCGGGCTCCGCGCGTGCAGGGAGGGGGCTGCCGGCCGCTTCCTTTACGGACTGGCA